TGCTGAACGAAGCAGGAACCGTGAGAACCACATTCCTCACAGGTCGTTTCAGTCGGGTTTCTGCCATGGCCCGTAGTTCCACAAGGAATATCGCCAGGACTTCCTCGGGTGTGGTAGACCTCCATGCGTTATTCACCAAGGCTGCAATAAAGGGTCGGACTCCGATGTTCAAAGTTTGAACCAGAAAGGGGAGACTTTTGCTCGCATGAACCACCGGATCAGTGTCAGCACGACCAACGAGGCGTTTCATGTTAAAGATAGCAGCCCCTGATAACATCTCGTGCTCATGGGCTAATTGGTTGCTGACACCACCCGAGGGGACCTCGTTTTTGAAAGTGACAAAAGATCGGATCAGCTTCTGGTTTCTCGTGTTCCTTAAGAGCTCAACTTGAGAACCATTCCACACTGCGATACTGCACTGAGAAGTACCGATGTCGATCCCGACAGCAATCTCGGGCAGTGCGGGGGACGATTTCTCCTCCCCCGTGGTTTCGCTCTCTGATGCAACGGTGTATGCGGGCTCAGCCATCCCTGCAACTGTCCAAAACCCAAAGTCAGGATCAGACCTGTACATTAATGATGGATTTTATAGTCATTTCTTTCACAGTCGCAAGAGTATCCAAAACAGGATCTTTCACTCATAGTCATTTCAACAAGAGAAAATCAAAAGGATGACCTTTACAGCCCATACGATCAAACACACGACTAAGGATGCAACACAACAGAGAGATCCAAGCATCTTACTTCCTAGGATCTCAAATATTTCTATACACATTTGTAAGACTCTGTCCGGGTCCGGGGATTTCTAGCTTCAGACATCAACACGTGATAGTTCATCCACAATTATTTTCTAGAATTAATCCTGAACTCATCACTCAAACATACTAAGATCCATTCTTAACAGAACAAGAAAAAATGGATTCTTGGCAACTTTGTAGCACCATAGCTGCTTCCAAGAGTTCAATTCAGTTATCAAACCTAAGTATTCTGACACTGATAGCGCCAGTGTATGCTTACAGAGCTCTACTGCACATGTGCAGGTTTGAGTCAAGACCGTGAACAAAATACAGATTATCTCTAAGACCATAGTTCCATAACCACCAAAAGAGATATATCACCGATGAAACGACAGAAATAATCTCCAGATAAACTTCTCACTCCTCTGAACAAGGTACGACGCTTCACTAGACCAAGAGATTTGAGACCGAGACAGAAATGAAAATTGGACAGATGGGTATGCCATCAATTGCTGAAACAACAAACCTGACCAAAGGGCAGAAGTTCCCAAGGGACCGTTGAAGAAGATGAAAATTGGAAGCTTTTAGGGTTCTTGAATGTTGCAGAGAGGAAGATATAGAGAAAGATACGGAGAGACGCAGAAGCAGAAGACTTTAGAAGGTGGGAGAAGGAGATTGAAGGAGAGGAGTGTATGTAAATGAACTTCGTCATCTTCTAGAGTTTCCCCGAGAGAGAGACAGCGCCTTTGCCAAGGAGGGAAGTTTTTCTCGTACCTTCTAAACATTTCTCAATTCTCTGATTTTCTTTTTTTTGTCATTTTTATTTTGTTTGCCTTTTTATTTATTTTTCCTTGTAAATATATAACAACGCATCGAATCAGCCCAAAAGCCCATTTATCAAAACAAGATGCAAACCCAATCTCTTGTTGGGCCAATTGTCCGAAGCCCATTAGCCCAATAATATTCTCTGACTTTGACTCGAACTAATTTACTTGGAGTTGAATTCGAATTTGCAGTGAGGTTCAATAAAAAAAATGTCATAATAAAATACGAAATACAATTAACCGAAATTATTTAAAATGATCGATGTAAGCATATATTATACCAATGTTTTACTGTATTATATTGTCTTAAAAAACAAATATTAATAAAATGAAAATGAATGTATTTAATGTGAGATTCTATTAGTATGAGTATATATATGCATATTATAATGTTTTGTTAAATGTGAATATGGGTAGGCTATTTTTTTGACTATTTTCTAAACGCGATAATAATTAAAAAACATATCAAAGTTCAATTTCGAATGGCACATGAAAACCATGTTTTCATATCTTCGAGTATTAAAAAAATGATATGCTTACAGTTTCTCTCTATGAATTTTAGTCAAAAGTTCCAACATATTTGACTAGCACATGTAATATTATCTCGTGTTTTCCATTCGACTTATTTTATTTTTATGTTTGCAAAAAGACAACCTTATTATGGTTCTTTAATCGGGTTAAATTCAACAATTATACATCAACTCTATTTGAAAGTCTAGTTAACAAATACATCATCGTATGATTGAGTATTCGGTATATATACTTGTTCAAATCACTCATAAATAATCCATTAAAAATTAATAAATTTTATAGAACAAATTTAATGAGCTGGCCCGATGCGAACCCAAACTCAAAATCTATAGGATCAAGTTTCGGGTTTGGTTATTTGGGCTGAAAAAAAAAATCAGACTGATTAACCCAAACCCGAACTCAAAACCCTCATACCAAGTGTAGGCTCCGGCCAAATCGGACCGGATAGATCCGATTGACACTCCTAGTTAAGACAATACAAAACTCGGGTTTTCTATTGCATATTTACACTTGGGTGAATATTGCATGGTTTTTGGGTGAAGTGTGAAGTCTTATGATAAATGGATGTTGTTTTGCCATTTATATTTACACTTGTATTGTTTGTGTGTGTGTATAATGGCAAATAAAAGATGTGCGATCTGACATAGCTTCCATTTCTTAATTAAACAACCCAAGGACTTAGAGAATAATATAATTTTAAAATACAAGATAATATTTTTTTTAGAGGTTTTAGTTTATTTTTAAATTCAGAGTTTGTTAATAATATGTCCTTAATCCTTATGGTTGTTCCACCAATATATAATTTATCGTACATTTTTTGTATGGACATACAATTTATTCTTTACCGGGCGTAGAACCTTTCCTTTCCTAAAATTAGAATAAAATTTAAAAATTAACTACAATCATCCATGAATGGATGATCAGATCATATGGATGATGATGAATTGATTATTATTATTATTATTATTATTATTAAAATAGTTTGCCGTATGCATACAAATCGTTCCTTAATAACTCGGAGCAAATCGGTGCTTGTGAATTATATGCATATGCATAATTTAAAAAACAATAAAATTAGATTATTTGTGATGGTGACAATTTTTTTAGATTATATAAATTTCATTAATTGTCTATCTAATCAGGGATGATGCTTCACCGATCACATGATTCACATTTTTACATGTCATGAATGCAGCCATAGATAGACCATTATCAATCCACTAAACGACAACAAATCTACCCTACTGAAAAAATAAAAACCCAAACCTAATTACATTTCTTATGGTGGACGGATATTTTTGAAATCTTGAGTGGTCCATGAAAATACATATATTATTCCAGTTTTTTTTTTAATTATTTCTAACCAGAAATTAATACTGATTTTGACTTTTAACTTTAACCGTAATCTGATGCAAAATAAGCTAAAAAAATCACGTACAAGTTCACACATGCGTATTATGGAAACTACTTCTTTATCGTATAAATATATCTCTTAAGGACTGTTCACACCGACATTAATTAGGATATATAATCCAAAAATAACGTCTTTATTATATATCATATCATAAAATAAAAAAGCTATTTAATAACGAAAGAATCTTTTTATTTCTTATTTTATTATCGAAATTAGGTAGTCAAATAAAATGTTTTGATATATGATACTGACATCTCCCACCAGTAAATATTGTGATAGAAAATATTTTCGCCGAGTTTACGCAATAACAAAATCCGTGGTTAAATGATTTAATCTCTATAGATTTTCGTGAAATTTAAAGATTCGAATGTTTGTCGGTTAAGTAACAGGCGAAAAATAAAATGTATTTGAATAATATATAGTTTTCAAAGAAGCATAGTAATCTCGGATACGGGTTAATTGCATTTAGATATCAATCTCAGTGTTTTATATAAGCTTGATTTGTAAGATTATGCATTTCCTAATCATTTGATTATGGTGCATAACTGAATTATTTCAATGTAAAAGATTCACAAAGAAATTCAGCACGGGTTTCGTGTGCGAGAGATAAGAGAAAAGAAGGAAAAATTCGGTAGGAAGTTCCTAAAAGGACCCCGAGAGAAGCAACGTTGACGGCGAAGATAAAATAACGGTTAAGGGTATAATTGTCATTTAATAGGAACATCTCATCCATTGCTATTAGGTGAAAGCGCGTGGCCCAACTTTTATTACATTCGCAGAGTAATGTTCTGTTCTGTTCAACATTTGACAATTTTCTATTCGTCGATTAATATTCTTATTCCAAGTTTTGGTTTTATTTTTTTTTATCACGAAGTCGTCCATATATATATATATATATATGGTTGTATATTTTAAATGATAAATGTATATGTAAATTTTTTTTATGTGAACATAAAAATTTCGAGCATTTCGTGTTGTTTGTATAAATGTGATCTCTCAACAGCCTCGGAAAGGCACAAGAGATAACAAATTTATGCACAAATGAAAAAATCACGACATTAAATTATGAAAATATAATCGAATTAATAAACATATTATATTCGGGATTAAAAAAAAAACAAGACGAAAAGGATTTGAACCATGACTCAGCACCCACAAAATATCATATTATAAAAATAATAAAAAAAGTCGGAAAAATAGGACGTCAGATTCCTTCCCCCTTCCTATAAATACCCCTTTTGTTCCTCCGTCCACAGAGCCCTTCTCGTCTTTGATCTTTTCTTCTGTTAATTACTCTCTCTCTCTCTCTCTCTCTCTCTCTCTCTCTCTCTCTC